TTGCAAAGCTCCATAAAAACTTACCTCAAAGGTATTCCACTTGTTTCATCGATATTCGGCACGTGATATCGAAATGGGCGAAATCGCCTCTTGATATCACTAACCCTCCTGACTCCTGACTCCTGATAGCCTACTGCTCCTGGAAATTCGTCAATGTCCAATGATAGTGGAAAAATATCTGAGGGTGGAATGATCGCCGCCATATCAGGAAATTAGTGTATTCTTTTATCAAGTGATACAAGTGATATTATAAGGCTGAACTCTAAAGAGACGACTCCGTCCAGGTCTTTATACCCAAAAAAGATAAGGAAACGTTATCGCACAACGTCTATCGCGCTGTCCATCAAGTCTAGAGCTCGTTTTTCAAGTCTCCCATAAGGCATGGCAAGAAGATCTATGAGCAGTGTCGCCGACATCCTAGCCAGGAATTTGGAAGACCTGAAGTTCATTGACGTCGATGCAGTCCTTGGAGACCTCAGGATCCAGGGAATCATAAAGCACGACGACTTCTTCGAAATTGCCAAGAAGGCGAAAATGGATAAATTATTGTTTCTTCTGGAATACCTGCCTCAATTGGGAGATGACGCTTTTCCAACTTTCATTGTAGTACTTCGCCAAAGGAAATATGCTCTCCTTGCGGCTAAGCTGGAAAAAGGTATCATTTATTGCTAATATGAACAAAATGCTTAGTGAAAATAATAACATTTGCTGAAAAGTGTAATTTGCTGGATCACGTCTTCAAACCTTCTGTGAGGTGCATGATCAGGAAAAAAGCATTGGAAAAAAGTTTATTTTCAAGTTTCACTTTCCTCTCGGTTAAGAAGACCAGAACACTCACGCTTTTTCTTGGTGGCCGTACCGAATCGGCAGCAACTCGTCTACAATGTTTTCGAGTTGTGGCGACGGGACGAGGAAGGATATATACAAGGTATGATTGAGGGCGGCTGTGGTGAAGTGCAGTGAATGTTTCTTTTTTCGTTTCAGGGACGTTAGATAGCGATGGGCATCAGACTGGAAGGCAAATCTGAAAATAATGTGAAATACTAAAGTTAACGTGGAAAAGGTGTCATTACATGTTCCAATCGCATCTGTGCTGTCACAACTAAAACGTTGAAACAATGCATGTAAAACTCCTTGTATTTGATGAATAATTTTCAGAATGGCAAATCGAGGAATATGGTGGCATTGGATTTTCCTCGAGTTTTCAAGGGCTATGGGAGTATTCGAGTGTCAGCGATGCGAGTATATTCCCACCGTCGCAGCTAATGAGCCCAAATACAGGAGACGTTTTTAAAGACGTGCCGAATATCGATGAAACAAGTGGAATACCTTTGAGGTAAGTTTTTATGGAGCTTTGCAATGCGATGCCACTAGTGCAAGCAAGATTCGACGGGAAAGGAATTGGTTCCGTTGATCCCTATGCAGTTCTATTGTACAAGCGTTAGGAGATACACTTGAATGAGACCTGTTAAATCAACAGTGGATAGTTTATAGCTCCAATGACGGTTGTCATCGGATTCACCTTCTATTCAGGGTTTGCCATCAACTGAACCTTGTATATCGCAGTTACTAATGCTCATGTTAGGTCACATTATGTTAAAATAAGGGATTCGTAAACATTTGTTCTTTCATGAAAGTGGAGAAGTGTGTAAGCATTGGTTGTTCATTACGTTGGGACGAAAATTCCCAACAGACAGTTTTTATTCCTGGGACGCATTCATTATCGCCTGGCTTCTCAAAGAGGTGGAAATTGAGAACTCCAATACTGAAATTAGAGATTGAAGTGTTCGTGAGGCACAGTACGTTTCACACTCAGCCTCAACATGCTATCTCTCGCACCTAGATCCTCATCATTTCAACCGTCAAATATCTCAGAAGTAAATTGCCGAATGAGTAGGAAACCCTGAGAAATCTGTTCCAATGTTCTTCAAAAGTGGTCGATATGATACATATGAATTTAGATGGTATTTCCTTACATTAATATAATTGTATAGTTGACGGTTTCAATCGTAATACTTTTGTTTCATCCGCAAAAAAGTGCACCAAAACATTCAATTTGTAATATATATATTTTCCCCCAGAGTTCCAATCAGCGGAATGGATCGAATCAAGCGTTTGCGAAGTATTCTGTCTGATAAAAACACAAACATAAACGTGTTGGATTTTCTTCGCGAATTAAGTAAAGAGGAACTCATATCGCCTGCAGAGGAAAAAGATATCAGGAGGAAGGAAACCTATTCAGAAAAAATTGATTCCATATTTGACATCGTTTTTGTGAAAAATCCCATGAAAATTGAAAAGAAACTCATTGAAGTTCTGGAATCAATGGAGAGGGAGGATATCATCGACAGATGGAACAATGACTCCGGTTCGTTTTCACCTTCCTTGACGTCCTGATCCAGTGGTGTGCCCAGGAAATCCGAATGGGGGGGTCGCCACATGAAACACTGATTATCCACCCTAATGAGGGGGATTAACACGTAAAAAAAACTGATAACCCACCCTGTACTCGTGGCAAAATAAAATAAAATTGTGAAAAACGATCGTGTAAAATTGACCCCAATTGGTTTTGACCCCAACCCCCCCCCCCCATGGGCACATCACTGTCCTGATCGCTGTTACGTAGCACGAGGTATGTCCGCATTTACCCTCTTTTTGATATGATTTTCAATAACAGTTGTCGCTGATGCGCCCGGTTCATTGCGGGATATTTTACTGGCGAGCTGGGGTATTATGCTGGAGCAGCTCAAAGCTGGGATGGTTGCAATCGAACTGCGCAAGTCAGGGGTCATATCAAAGCAAGATCTTGATGAGATCATGACGCCGCGCGACACGAGGGAGAAGAGAAGTGTCCTTTTGGCGAAACTATCTGCGAAAATTGACTCAAGGAATTTCAAAAAGTTCATTTCTGCGCTTACAGTGGCTAATCAAACCAGTATAGCGGAAAATCTTCAGGCAGAAGGTAAGAAAATCTTAATTATAACACAGCTCAGCTCTTTCTGATCTGCGGTCATTCAGACCAGCATGAAATTTTCCGAATTCCCTTTTCTAATCCCATAGAGGGGAAACTAGAAAGAGGGAAATCTCAACTTGCAAATGCATTGCTGGACACGTAAGTTATAGATTCCCAAGGCTTGAACTGCAAACGCAAAGTATATCACATTTTGTAACATCCACTTTACATGATTTTAGGACTCCGTCCGATGGGGACATTCGGCAGATCGCGAATGGACTAGAAGAAGCATGGGATAAATGGGGAATCCTGGGCAAAGAGTTGGGACTTACCAAGGCTGCGATTGACGAAATCGAGAGAAAGGAACTGGATCCAGTCAGATCGACATACCTTCTTCTGAGGGAGTGGAGGAAATTATCACTCGAGGATCACCCCGCCACGTTTCGAGTCTTGCATGAGGCCTTGTGCAATCAAGGCATGATATCAGAAGTCGTCATCAATCTCATCTGCAAAAAGAATTGCGAAGATATCAAAAGTATTCTGTAACAAGCTCAACCTCCAGGAACACGGCGAGATGGTTTTACGCTTTGCCGTTTGAGAACAATAAATAAATCAGGTGTGTTTCAACATAGCCGATTCAGCAGCAGGACACACCAAAAACTGCCCCGATGATAAAAAAATGGCTTTCAGAAAGATGCTTTTGCATTTCTCATAAGACAGCTCTTCCCATTTCAAGATATCTAACCTTCCTCATATGACATTCTGCATCGAATAGGAAACACTGTTGGACTTTCCGTAAACTCGACAGTAAGAATCCTAGGTTGGTCCATTTCTTTTATTGGACGGAATGAGCCAAAATAAATTTTTAAATGAAAAGGTCAAAAGTCAAGAAATTGGGTCATTCGAAGTTCAATGATCACATACAAATTTGTTGCCACGTGGACTGGATGCTGTGTCTGCACTGCTCCAAGGATTTATTTCCTTTGACTCCATTGGGGCCATGGATCACAGGAAGCTACGCATTTGAAAATCTATCCAGGGGATTCGCGAGGGGAGAGAAATTTCGTTGACATTCAAGGAGGATGGAAGAAAGACGCAAGACTTACCAACATTATTGAAAAAAAGTCAGATCTTGAGGATGGGCAAGTGCCTCTGCTGGTGGTGGAGGGGAGGAAATACTCAATCGCTGTCCTTCCATGTTGACAAGACTGAATCGAACTCTTCTTCCCTTTAAATTCACTTGGGTGGTCATTTCTTGTTGATGGTTTTCGTGTGCTCAATCCCAATGAGTAGCAGAATCAATGAGTAGCAAACTAAAGCATTTTCAGTGCTTTTCTAGAGTGCGTTCTAATATTCAACCCCTGGAAAAATATGAAAACACGTTCTCGACGCTTTCTGGAGTTCCCTTGGGGCGGAATTCCATACACGATTTAAATTATGACTTTTTTTTAATAATGGACTTTGATTTCTATAAATAAGCACTTGAAACTATGAAACCATGCTGCATATTGTTGATGCAGGGGTAGTTGAGCTGCGCGCCAGTGAACCATAACCTGAAATCTCGTTGGAAGCCACGAACCTTCTAAATGTTCCTCATCCCATTATCGTAGCGTTGCGACTAAATTTGATGGAACTACAACCGATTTGAAGCTGCAAGCTGCTCACGACATTAGTGGCTCGGTTGGTAGCACTTGTGGCTTCCGCGAAAACGGAGACGGGCTTCAAATCCACCCAGTCGGGCAGTTTTTTTCTCCGAACTCTGACCTCGGCGCATTCAGGAAGGGAAGTTTCCTAACACATGGCACTCCCGACTTTAGATATGACTTGAGAAAACTCCCATGGTGAAGGCCAAGGAACACGTTCACGAGGTATCCACCCACCAGATGAGAGAGAAAGTATGTTAGAATTCCATCGCTGAGATGCATCCGTGGACTTTGAGCTTCTTGCGCCTCGTGCTTGTCGTATTTCATCTTGACGCATAGCGCGCAACCAGAGAGGTGATGACGTCGATCATGAATTTCTTTACTTAGTTGGTCATTTCTAAAAAAAAAAAAGACTACTGATGGAGCTCCTCCTGATGAAATCTCTGAAGGAAAGAGAACCTGTCGTTAGTACAACAGCAACAATAATGAACTAAAGGAGGAACGGGGAATGATGTTCACAATTTCGAAGACATGAAATCAGAATTCCCCAATCTGAGTTCATAGGCTGTGTAAACGAATATTCCAAATGCAAATGAAATGGACTGCGTGACCGGTAGGTCAAGCCATTTCAAGTTCGATCATTTGACCAGGTACTGACTGGTAATATAAAAGTATTTTATGCAAACAACCTTGTTCCCTAAAGCGACATTCCTACTTGGCATTATAGGCATAAGGTTATCAAGGCAACAAATTGCAAATGGGGTATTTGGATTCTTCGTTCAGATAAGGGACTCCCAGAGCTCGTCGAGGGGAAGTGCTTCAGCAACAATGCATACTAATGTCTATGAATTTCTGAATTTAACATGTCTGGGGTGTCATCTTTTTCCTCTAAATAATGTTTAATTTTCAAATTGTTTACTTTTTTTGCTTCCTTTCTGAGCACTTTCCGCTTTAAATGAAACGTCGATGCCCTTTCGCCCCCACCACTTCCCCATTTCTTTCGTTGGGAGTTCTCGTGTTTAAATGGGTTACGTGCGACTTCCACGTAAGACATTGCTTCGACGGACACTTCTCCGCCACTTACTCGACTGGGGACTTCTGGGGACATCGTTGACTGCGTCATCAAAACAAATTTTATCTTGGATGGATTTTATCTTCGCTAAGCAAAACTACGGAAACGCCTGTATCAGTATCCCATTTTGGGAGACTAACTACAGTCAATTTAGTGACATATTATTGACAGGAAGTCTTAAGACCTGACCTGAAAAGAGGTTATCTTCACTGTAATTTCCTGACCTTGAATTCTTTATTTGTCACGGAAGGCTTTTGTTCAATACTCCTGCTGACAATGTTTATAGATGGACTATTTAACCCTCATCCGGGCAAGCTTTTTTACAACCAATTCCGGGCAAGGTGAGTCTGTCAGACTCGTAAAATAAGGCCGTTTGCTGCGGTTACAGTATGTATTCTTATAAATAACAGTACTGTAACTAAAATAATATGACAGAAACAGACCGAAATATGTCGTAGTGAGTCCAGCGGACTCACCTTGCCCGGATTAGGAATAATTACTTATGCACATTAAGCAGGTAGAGTATGCCCATCATGAGAGCCGTTACCGACGTGTTTCCAAAGGTCAACGGAGACTTAAAATTAATCCACTTGGATGTGATCCTGGAAGACTCGAACGCAAAGGGCGTTTTCGAGCATCTCGAATACCACGAGGTGATCGACAAGCACGTCCAGAGGAAATTGCTCTTCTGAGGAGACACTGCCTCGATGGGGGGGAATGTTTGGCGTTTCCCAAGTTTCTCAAATGGCGACGGCGAGGGCGGCACTTGCAACTAGCTGGAAGGAAGGAGAACGGTGAACTTTTGTTAATTGATTCATTCCGGGACGTGAGGATTATTTAGCATTTACCCTCCGGCACCAGTCACAAATATAGCAGAGGCACAGGATTGATACATGTGCATCACCACGGTGAAAAAAAAAGAGTCCTCCCCCCCAAAAGCACTGCTTCCCTTCATGCCAGAGTGGAACGCGCTGAACGGCGGAACTGCTACTGAGTCTGCTGAATCCGATGAGAATCCACCAGCGGACGATTCTGTTCCCGAAGCAGCCGCGACCTCAGATGGAGCGACTGCCTCTGCTCCTATGGGCAACTGGCGGCTAGGTTCCTTGCAAACCAAAAACTCATCCAAAGGTAGCTTGGACTTACCGGAAACAATATGTGTGGCGTATGTAGTGGGGTAGTGTGGTGGCCTGGGTCTAAAAGACAAACAGCAATCATCCCGATGTAATAATGCTTGTTTAATGCAACCATTTCCATGGCTGAGTAGTTTCTTCGGAAACATAGTTTCCTTCATAGGATAGGGAATAGCGTTAATCGTATGATTGCGTTTTCGACACATACTGTCCTCAGAGCAATGCTATCAGCCCGTCATTTTTCTTGTAGATACCAGGTTCCTTTTTTTTACTTGATACTTGGACCGATACTTGTTCCGATTTAGTTTTGTGCATACGCACATGTAAGATCATTGACAGTCCAACAACCTCATACTCAAGGTTAACATTTTACAGTACCACTTTCCTCGCTTAGAAAAAGGATAACTTAAATATTAAGACGTTCCTGTAGAGCTGGAGATATTACTAATTGAAATATTTGAATATTGAATATTTTTTAATTGAAAGACCATTTTACATTTAGTGCTTCAAATATCAGAAGGGATAACTATTTATCCATGTTCTCATGGGTACCCATTGTTCCACATACAAGATTCATAAACCTCTCCAAATTAAACGTACTGTATAACCCTACCTATCGAAAAGGATATGGAATATTCATCGCATTTCATCCAATGAACACTTTTAAATGGTTATTCACAGTCATCTAACCTTTTTATGATAGGGTAAACCTACCTACTTCTGAGATAGTCGCACCTTTAGCCACTCAGAGAGTCAACTCTTATGGTTTATGTAATGCCATGAATCCCCATTAGAGGGCAGCACTATCTATCAATTAATGAGTACTACATTTGTGTCAATACGCATCACTAAAACAGAGTTTTACTTTCACCAAAGTCTTTGTATCTCAGAATTGGGTAGGTTTACCATATCGTTGAAAAGGTTAAACCCTGAACCCTTTTTGCTAACAAAATGGTCTCGTGACTGCACAAGAATCAGTAACGCATCACTGCAATAAATACTCTTTGCCGAGTTATTTCCTCGTTTTCGAATCACATGTATGAATGTCATGAACATGTTATTTGAAGTTATTTAAAGATAGAAGATCCAGAACTTCATGGACACGAATTGTTCTTTCCGGCGAGAAGTCACATATAGTCTCCACAAATAATAAAATTAAACGAAACTGCAGCGTAGTATTTGAAAACGGCATCATCTCGAGTGGTTTTTCCGAGAAGAGAAAAAATACGTCTCAAGACATTCAGCCGGGTTCTTAGGAAGACAAAGCAACTAATATAACAGGAACATACGATAATGAATCCATTAAAGTTCATCTCGTGCAAAACGAAACGGAGAGAAGCTGTTGCCCGCGCTCTGTGCGCATTAAAGCCTCATGAAAAAAGTTAACGAAGCATGCTCAGTGCAGCGCACTCTGGAAGCCAACCAGCAATGCTGCCAGCAATATCAATACTGCGGGACACATTCCATTCAGTCTTGAATTGGAATTATGCTCCAGCTCCTCGAATGATCTATTCTGGTACTTGGACCCTTTCGTGAGGCATTTCGGCAAGTAGTACGTATTCGCGGAATCGCAGCAGAGGTTCCTCTCGTGTCTTTGGTTCGTGCAATAGGACCCGACTTGAATGCCGAAGTAAGAAATGTGATCCTCGATGAAAGTGACCCTTTCTTTGAAATAGAGTCTCTTGAACCAAGAGATGTGGCTCTCGTCCGTGTCTCTGCAGCTCTCGTCTTCGTTGTACGGCTTCCCGTTGCACGGCCGGTGCATGACGTAGTTGCACGACAGATCTTCGGAATGATGGTAATGAAGGTGAATCTGAATGCCGTGATGGTAGGGCCCGTCGTGGGTGGAAGGGGAAGCGACGAAGGGGAAAATTGTCACGATGTCCAGACTGTTCACCACCCGGAAGCTGTTGTTCACGAGAGCGTCGTGGTGCGACGCGTAGTCGTAGTTGCCGACTCGCGGCATGCCGAAGGTGTAAGACACGACGGATTCCCCAGGTGCCAGGCGGTTGTGGACGATCCAGGCGCTCGTCAGTGAAGCGATCGCGCCCCCGAGCGAATGTCCGGTGACCCAGATCCGGTAGTCTGGGTGCTGGCGACGGAGATCTTTCACTTCCTTCTCCAAACTCGGCCACAGAACGTCGAAAGCCAGTTTCCAGTAAATCTGTACTTTGCCGCCCAGAAATGGGACCTTGGGATAGGCGAGGGAAGAGACGAAGATCTCGTAGACCTGAGAAAAATCGATAGAGCCTCGAAATGCAAGAATGATGGCCTTTTCTCCGTGCGAAAGGGCAACGTATCCCGAGCAATCCTTGTCGACCATCATGCCGCAATCCTTGGTCACGACCTTCTTCACGGTCACGTCGGACTGCCAAAGCACGCTCCGCAAGCACTTCTGCGGGTCCGCGTCATAATATGCCGCCGCCGACAGAAGCACCATCTTCCCGGCCAGACTCGGGTCGTAGCGCGGCCTCGCGGCGTCGCAGCCCGCCGCGTCCAGGATGTTCTCCGTCCTCTCGCACACGCTGGACAAGGAGCCCTCCACGTGGCACTTGTTGTCCCTTGGGCACCATCGGCACGATTCCCCGTTCCAACCGGTTCTTTCCACGCAGCGCTTGCAGTCTTTGTAATCCTGGCACGCAGCGTCGCAAGCGGTCAAAAACGCTAGTGATCCCACGCATGCTAAGAAGGATCCGCGAGCGAAACCACGCATTCTCGTATCCGAACGAAGTCGATCCGAAGAATTCACTGTACACTCAATGGACCGAGAAGCGCCACTCGTCTCCATGAAGAGTCATACAGTTCACAGTTCTCGTCCTACCTGATAAGATTACCATGGTTATTTCAGGCGCATCGGGCCAGAAAAGAGATAAATATTTCACTTTTTTTCTGTTTGCCACGACAGGCAGGACGAATCCGACTCGGATTCCCAAGATCGCGCATGCAAAAGAGCGAGTATCGCCGGAAGCATGCTTCGCCGATCCGAGGAAAATAAAAGACAGGGACTGGGAACAGCCCTCGCAATAAACCCGTGGGTTCTCGAGAACCGCGAGCGGTGGGCTTCCCAACGGCCTTCGCCCGCTTGGACGCGATCAGAACTGGATGCATCATTGCGGTCGGCTGACTCGGCGACTCCGCCACTTCTTGCGTGCATCCTACCCTATACGACTTCCCAGCTCGCATCGCCATGCTCATCGTGTCGATACTTCGCCTCTCTGCAGAATGAAGACTGCTTTCGTAGTAAGGCTTTTCTTCACTTTTAGACCTTTTGAGGTATTTGTGTGCCATCAACGCGACATCCTTTGCCTCCCCTTCACCGATGCAGCCGATTTGCGAGGGAATGGAGAGAATCCGGGGTGGACAGGGACATATGCGAAAACTGGCATCCACACACTTTCCCCAATCACACGGATTATGACAAGTTAAGGATTTATTTCATCGAGAAAACGGATTTGGGCTAGCCTCAATTTTTTTTTTCTATAGTGACGATATGGAAGTAACAACTGTTTTTTTTTCCAGTAGGTAAAAAAACCAGGCTGAAGAAGGCGTAAAAGTTCGAGTATTTCAAGATTTCCAAGAATGTACGCCGAAAAAAGTCAAAGAATATAAAAACTTTTAGCCTCAAACTCAAAAATGAAATGAGGATTTTCTCGAACAAAGGACCATTCAGCGGCTGATGGCTAGATGGCTCAACTTCGCAGCCATTTGGAACACGAGAAGAGTCCGCGGGGATTGTAGCGAGAGTTCCAATCAGACCGATGGCCGTGGGTTTAAATTAAATTAACATAATTAAATTAACTAAATTAATTAAATTTCAATGAACTTTTTACCGCCGTTTTTCACTTCGGGGCGTGGAAGCCATGACGCACGGATGCAAGGAGTGGCTCCTCTACTTGGCAACAGTTGTCATCACTATTGGCAACCCACTATCTTTGGGTTCATTCGCATCGCTGTCGACGGGATTTCACACCATGAGGCTCTCTCGTAAAACTCAGTTATATATATATATTTTTTTTTCCACTATGAAACGTAATAGAAATAGGGAAAATCATCTCAATTAAGAAAAATGCACAAATCTCGGTTTTTTTTTAAATGTATGTAGGAGGAGGGGAAGGGGAAGGGGAAGGGGAGGGGGAAGGAGAGGGGGAGGGGGGAGGGAGAGGGAGAGGGGGAGGGGGAGGGGGAGGGGGAGATGTACGGGGGGAGGGGGGAGGGGGAGGGGGAGGGGGAGGGGGGGGTAGGGAGAAGGGGATACGCTTTCACCGGTTTGGAGAAATAATGCGTCATTTTACTGGTAGTCCTACTAGCAGCTGATGCAATAACACTTTCTTGTATTGTTCATGACTTTCCCTACATATACGGTGAAAACTCGTTAACTCGAATCCTTGATAAGTGGAAATTTCGCTCATCTCGAAGTTCAATGATTGGTCCCGGCAGAACTCCGTAGGACACCATGTTAAAAGCTCCGTTTAACTCGATAATTCGCTTATCTCGAATTTCCGGATATCTCGAAATAAATTTTCACTCGCAATAAAGATTGTCTCACCGTTAACAGGGGTGAGAAGGGGGGGGGGGGAACTCTTCTCGCGGGACTTCACGATTTTCGAATGACAAGAGACCCGTTCGGGAGGATGCTAATTTATTTCTTCTTTTTTTGCTTCTCCATCCTCCGACACAGTCGCCTGTGGAGAGGATTAAACCTGAGGATTAAAACCGAAAAGCTTCGCCTGTAAAAAAAAGCCTCCAATATTCGCCCTATTTATCCATCGCTCTCGCTTACAGCCATTTTGTCCCCTATGTCCCTAACGTGAGTTTTTTGGGGGTCGAGAAAAGCCTCGCAAGACGCCGGAAGATCCCTACGTGCAACTCGTGCAACAGCTATTGTTTGATTCACGGTGACTCGTGTGTCACGCAAGGCTACGGAATACATTGCCAGACATTAGAAGGCAAGAGACAGCCTTCCAGAAGATAAGACACCCCGATGCGTCAGACGACACGGCCCACTTGCGATGCGCAGGGAGGGCGGATGGCTTCCGGCAGCAAACGAAGTCGCCCACGCACTCGCCTCATCGCCCACCTCTCGCAACGCATACTAATACACTGCCTTCCACGTACCCCCAGCCGGAAATGGGAGGGGAGGGGGGGAATGCTGCGCATGTGATGACGTAAGCGAGCCGCTGCACTATAAAAGAAGGCACTGTAGTCCGGCCGACTCACTACCTCGCTGGCTGGTGCCGAGGCAAGTCGCATTCAAATTTCCTCCTTCGTCGTGCATTCTTTCACCTGCATGATATTGTCCGAACCGCCATGTTCGTACGTTTCTGGATCTCATTCGTTGCCTTATGTTACAGACTTTCTTCTTTTTCCCCATTACTAGCAATTTGTAGCTATCATGGGCAGCGGTGAGGTTTCTTTTGTTGCATCCTGAAGGAATACTTAGAGAAATAGCGAGAAAAAAAATGTTTCTTTTCCCATGAACTCCCAATCTGTCTGACGAAAAGAATAAAGACTTCAAGAACTGGAAATAAAATGCGTTCCCAGATATGCGTGCGTGCGTTCCCATAGGTTCTCCTCGGATTCCTGACATAATGAGAACGATAGAAGGCGCTTAAAAATGGCGTCATCCTTTGAAAATGGCGCCATCCCTCGAGGAAGAAAACCATGACATTACATAATGGTAACGGAAGAAGGTGAATGCTCATTGACCGGAGGTAAAAAATCCTTCAGATATTGGAAGGAAAAATTGGATGAACTGAGGCTGAGGAAAATCATTTTCACTTGGATGATGCAGAAGATGACGGAAATGGTCCACGACCTCCGGGAAAAAGTCTACGATTAAAAAATCTCCTTTGAGAGGGCGCTCACGAATATCCAACTTGACATAATCGAATCGAACTACGGACTGAAGATCAATTCAGAGGTGGCATGTGATCATGTAGCACGTGATCACCGGTGGATCACTGGCATGCGATCAGGTCCCCACCCCGTCTAGCGCTAGCATTCATATCATTTTAAGAATGCATTTTCGTTTTCTTCCGATTTTCGAGATAAAAGCCATTGGCGCGGGTTCTTCTTCCCATCGCCACCCAGTCTGGCACAGCATTTCCCTTCATTTCGACCAGTTCCACCACGGATACGCGTTTCTGTGTGGGTCTGAGAGAGGTCTCTTCGATCGCCTTTGCTTCCGTCTCGTGTCAATTAGTCATCCGCTGCCGGGGCAGCCTGAGTGCAGGCAAATACTTTATCAGAGGGACGTTTTCTCCATTCGCTTACGGCTGGTGGAATTCTGAAGATTCGAGAACCTAACGGGTCGGAGACAGGCGCGATAGGGCCGACGCGTCCTGCAAGTCGGGCCCGTAGAGCCCGGCCCGACGATAGGTCGGATGGAGCCTCGATCGAATCGGGCCGACCGGGTCGTGTCAAGATCCTTGGTCAAGGTGGGAGTTTCTCTGGGCTCTGGAAGGCGCGATGGAGGATTCCATCGACTGCAACATCGAGGTAATTGTTTCGTTTCCACACGTACTGAGATCAGTGCTATAGCAATTTGGAAATAGATTGTCAGGCATGGAAATGGCCGAGATTCGAAAGGGAATTTCCACGAGAGTCGCGACGTTATATCGATCGGAGGAAGAAGCTCTCGACTCCAAGCATTCGTCCTTCCTGTGAGACCGCATATTCCTCAAGTGCTGTCTGAGATGTGATGTCGTTTCAATGAGGGGTCATTTCGGGGATTGCCGTTAATGAAGAAGAAAACAAAATGAGCATTTTGTCCATCATACTAGTCACTTACCAGTCAAACTAACAGAGTTAGCATCTGAAACGCGTAAGGTCTTCTGAAACCCGTGGATTTATGATCGCTAACGACGCAGAAAATGAAGTAACGTGACTCAACCGTGCGCGTCACTCGTGCCACGTCCTCGCTGCTCGTGACTCTGAGTCATTAAAGGTTTTCCCTCGGTCTCAGTCTTCTCCGTGTTGCTGATCGCGTAGTGTCCCGTTCGCTCTCCGAGTTTCATCTAAGGGTGTCTCTCCCCATTTAAAGGGTGGAATCCACTGTTTAGTGTCTCGTCTTCGATCAACTTTGGACATTGATCTCATTTGAAGCAACGATCGAAATGGCTTCTCTGTGCCCTTTACGGAAAGTCGACGTGCCTGCCTTACATTCCGCACGAAAGAGCTCCCTCTCTGCCTGGACAAATCTGTTTTGCATGAACCAACACGGCTTCGGCCCCACGCCCCTCTTCTCCCCTGTATGATCCCAGCCAGTCTAACCCCGGTCATGGCCGGGCGTCGTCGGCCTCCTCGCCGCGGTCAAGGTATGCTCCCCCCTCGAAATTAAATCGAAATCCACGGATTTCGTGCTGGCCTCTCCCTCGATGTTGAACGGCTGTGAAATCAAATTTCAACATCTGCTACAAATCAGATACTTAATTCTCCTTTAAAAAAAAAAAACCTGTCCTTATTTACAGTGTTTCTCAAATTTTCGGGCGAATAAAATATCTCAAGATTTTGACATCAATGCTGCTGAAAGAAACAATATTTGGATGATGCAATAATAGGATACGATGCAGCCCGTCACCATATTAGGTTTGCATCAATCTTGTCTCTTTTTTGGTCGAGCACTTTCGTTTTGAACATTGGCGAAGTTCATCGAAATAACGTCTCGCTATCAGAACTATCAATTAGTGTTTTGAGTGGGCAGTTATAGAGAATGGTGAGGTTAATGATTGATACACATTATAAATTGATATTAAGCAATCACATAATTGCAATAATTCTGGCATTCCATGCAGTCACTGAATTATGGAGGCGGAGAATATCGATCTGGGATTTTTTTCGCAGAACCAGTCGAGATGACGGCGAGAGAGCAGTCAAATATGGAGTCCATGTTGAAATGGATCTCTTTTTCGGTCTTGTTGGCTTTTTTGTTCTGCCTCGTCTGCTGGCTGGCCGTGTCCGCCGTCCTCCGCCTCGACGCCACCAACCGACGGCTTCGATCCCGGGTGCAAGACTTACGGGGGGAGGTCCAAGGCCTTCGGGGGGAACTGGAACATTTCCAATCCCAAATCATTGGAGTCGTGTCTAAGCAAGAGAGGAAGGACGTTCCGAGTGAAGAATCAGTGTGTGAATACATCCTGGAGATTCTCGAGGAGGAAGACTCCGAGCAGGAAGGCTGCAAAAGAGTGAACATTTTCCTCGAATGGGGAAGTGCCGACGAAGGCAGTTTGGGCTATCGCCTCCCGATAGGGAAATGCTACGACGGAGGGAAACGGAGCCCACAAGTACGCGGACGGAAGCGACACACCCTTGGTCGTCAGAAGCATCATCGACGCGAGAGAAACTGTAAGACATGCACCCTTGCTAAGGGACCATTTTCTTGCTTGGAACAATTCGTTGCATGCTTGCAAACAAGTGCTTGGTGCCTGGGGTGATATCTTCATGATAATTTTGCACTAGTCATTCTTTTTCATGCCAAATTTTCAAGCAGATATTTCCACGGAGGTTGAAGCATTATGTGTGGTTAATTTCAGCATTAATTACAGAATTTGGAAGTTAGTGTCTTTAGTCGCGTTTCCTTACTAATTTGAATCATTCTTAGAAGTTGACGGTTGAGCTCTCGAGTATACCATATGGTCTTCCTGAGTTGAGTGAGTTAAGGTGTTTAGCCAAGAATGAGGAAAAAGTGCTGGATGGGAATTCAAGGTGCAGGCCCCCCTTGCAACTCATATCTACCTTTATTTTTTTCTTTCCTGAGCACTTCCCGGCTCTCGCCCAGCGATTGCGAGAACGTACGCAATGTACAGTACTCATCAGCACAGCTACGAGGTCTTTCCTGGTCGGAGGAAAATCATAACAGGAAGTATCTACTTGAGCTCATTCGAAGGGAATGCAGAAATAAGCCGAAGAAAAAGAGAGAATTCCAAGTAGTTGCATTGACGCATTGTTTTCAAGCTAGGAAATCCATGCTGCTATTGTATTCTTCACACGGGAATGGTGCTCGTCTCATGCACCTCTTCTAAAATACGGGAAAACGGTTTCAGACTCAGAACTTTTTTCCTGAAAAAAAAACTCATGCTTTGGGGAAAAGGGGTCTTATTAATACATGCGTTTCTGTTTTAGCCGCGACCTCCTTTTCTCTGCGATGCAGGCACCGCGCATCCCTCTTACTTCTCATCGATCCCACTCCCTGTTCTTTTGGGCTCATCAAACCTTCAAGAATGTCGAGACAAGTAGCCTCTCACAGGTTTTGCATGCTTAAAAAAATGTTTCTAAATACTTGACATATCTGGCTCTTGTGAGGTTTTCAACTAGGGTGTACATACCTGGGTAGGGCACTTTTACATAATTAGGGCACTAACATAAGAATAAATCCTGTACTTCAAAAGGGGGATTTCGTAGCTTTTTAAAAATTGTTTTGCGAATAAAGAGGGGAACCAAAAGAGTGACAACGGCTGTATAATCACCATCAATATTTCTCTTTCAATCGAATGGAAGCTAAATTTTGCATTGCAGATGATTTAATAAAACACGCACGACACTTTAAATTATAGTTTACATCCGAGTTCTCTTAAATTTATTATATTTTCCTGATCATTTCGCCCTTGATCAGCACGTGTTCGGACTCATTCAATATGTGACTCATACAATATACTCATACATTACTGAAGTGAGTTCCCTTAAAACTCTGTCTCGTTTCAGGTGAAAGTTCAGCGCCGGGAAGCATCACGACACGTCGACCTCAACCCGGGGAAGTGATGCCTCGGTATCATCCACCGGGGCGATGAACAACCCCAGCTTTCCCAACATGGGAAGCGCAAACGCGTCTGTGATTCAATTCAATTCATTCCCCTTTTTGGGATAACGTGATATTCCTTGCAACATCAGATATTTCAAATATCGTGAGCAATCGGACTTTTTTCCCTTATGGACGTGTTTATGGATAATTTATGGGAGGATTTTTGAGAATGCGCCCGAAAGGGAATGAAAGTTTAAGTACGTGCTTTGTGATGTGGACTGCAGACATTTTGCAGTTGCGATATCAGTCTGGAAGATTGTGATGTCAGTGGTGAGGGGTCGACCTAACATTGTGTCTGTCGGAGAACTGCATGGGAGTGACACCATTTTTACCAGATCAAGGAATTCATTCTTGCCATTTATTTGCAAAACTGTGGTGAATGGAATTCCCAAGGTCAAGCCGAGAGCCTTATCAAAAACATTGCACATTCAACCTTCAGCAGTGAAGATCATTCTTCAAGATAGTATTTCTTCTTTCCAAGATGTTCAGGAATTTTTTTTCACAATTTGTGAAGCATGAATTACATTTTCAATATGCATATTTTTTGCTTTCATGGAAAATTTGATTGCCTACAAAATATCGCCCCTGTCATTGTTCTTGCTCTTGGAGTAAGTGTTCTGTTAGTGTTACTTATATATTTTGGGGAAAGTTATGTATGTTTTCTGGAAACTCGACTCAGGCATCATGGTTATCACCATGCTTCATTATTATCATAGCCTAGGAGTCAGGGATTCCTCTCACTCGGCCAACGGTGTGATGATGAGGGCATTAGTATGTGGGATATGTTTTATGGAAAATTGATTTAAATTGAGACTGAACTCTCAAATCGAAGTCACGATTGTGAGATTCACACAGATCTCAATGTTGCCGGATGTATACTTCCTGGAAATTATGCTTTCCAGCGACTTCTCTCAATCAAAAATTGCTTAGAACTAGACTGATCTTTCAAAATCTGACATGAAGTTCACTATGAAAGTTACACTCATCAACAACTTGAACATAACAACTTGACCCCATTCGCATCCTGACCTCGAGGGCAGAGGAAGAACTCACCAAACCCATGGGAAAGTGGATTTCCAGAAGGCGTTTGACTCCATCAGCCGTTCCCTCCTACTGCAAACTCCATGATGAATTCCATATCGGAGGCCTCATCCTCAGTATAATAGCTGCGATCATCGACACCAACTAACTCCGCATCTCGGATGGTCTGAGAATTTCGTCCCCAATCTCCCAACGGAAAGGAGTGCTCCAAGGAGACAGCCTGGGCCCAACCCTCTTTGTCACATACATATCAAGCTTGGCGAACGGAATCAAAAGGGCTGCCCCGACCATACAAGTGGTTTTTTACGCCGACGATCTTGTCCTCTTTCCACCCTCCCGGGACGATCTCCAATCCGGGTTGGATGCGCTCCTGGCACGGTCAAACATTGACTACCTGCAGGTGAACATCGCGAAAACAAAAATTATGAAGTTAAGAAAAGGCGGCCGGCTAAGTATGACTGACTCCTTCGCACTTGGGGTGCACCATGTAGAGATTGTCAAACGCTTCGACTACCTCGGGGTATCACTACAACCTACCTTAACGTTCACCAATTTCGTGGAAAATAAGAAAAATGAAGCGGCAGCGGTGATCGGCAGCCTCCACAACTTACACCGGCTCTCGACCTCAACAGCAATGAAGATGTACCGACTCGAAGTCCAACCCATCGTTACCTACGGCCTGAAGCCAATCGCCCACCGGCTGAAGATAGACCACATGATAGACCTGGACAAAATCAAATGACGCTTCTTCAAAAAGGTATTGTGCCTACACCGATCGGCTTCTTCCACCGTGGCACTTATGCTGTGTTGAGTTGTGTCTATAATATTCATGCTGTCAATTTTTGTGTAGCTGAACCTTATGGGTATTCATATTTTTTCAGGATAAATATGTTTCTGAAATGCTACTGCATCCTGATTTATTGACAACCTGACTGAACAAAGTCTCTTTTTTCTTTTTTCTTTTCGCGAAGAAGTAGGCACTCCCAACATAATGGAAAAAGGGTTTTTACTCACTTTTTCACTGGCATTCGCGTCTCCTGATGTCCGGAAATCCGAAGCCACTTCCACTAACGTTCCCAGAAGGAAGTTGCAGATTTTTCATTTCCGTTTGACAGTGAAAGGGTTACTTTTTATTGTCCGCTTGGATGGGAAACGCTCATTCGGTTCTCAGAGTTAATATGATACAAGTCAGGATTAATTTGGAAAGGGACAGTGGGAGGATGAACGAAGTACTTGTCCATCAATCAACCAAACATCAATGACACGGGACGGAGGGGTAACATACAGGTATAGTCAAATCTGCGAGAGAGGAGGACGAGGTGATCGGGACTGCCAACTCCCGAGGAGAACAGTTCGGAGAGCGTAAAACTCATCATCCGAAGGGGAAAAACTTTACAACCGATGCGAATGACGCTGGAATCACCGAGAACCATCTTCCCCCTCTCCCTCCCTCCCTCCAAAAGCGTAATAAAGGGAGAACTTCACTCTTTAGGTATGTCAGATCCTAAGGCACTAGCCGTCCTTTCCCTTCACTTAGAAGCTGAAGTACTGGCTTAAAATGGAAACATGACTCTGTCTCTAGTCTCTGGTCACCAGTGTGAAATAGAGATCGAGGTGGCTAAGATCTACGTACGTCCAGAAGGTTAACGAGGAGGATCTCTCGACGATGGTGAGGTGTGGAAGGTCAGGCGTGACACCTAGGCGACCGTGCCCGTACCACGACTTCCACAGTGCGACTCACAGAGAGCTCTTCCCTCATATACAGGACGTCCTTGATATACAGCTCTCCGGTCGGGACATTCACAGCCTGCTGTGCCAGTTGGACCGTTAAAATATTTACATATAGGGTGTGTGAAAATTCAGGGAACCTAACAAATTATAAATTTATTTACAGTAATTCTCCAACTTGATGGCAGCATATTTCTGTGTCTCTTTCTCATCAATTTTGCCTGCGATAGTTGAAGTCCAGTGAAGAGAGCTCCCGCTGCATCCACTTCAAATCCGTCCCGCAGGAGGGCACAAAAGAACCCACCTCGTTCGCATGCGTGCAGTTGAAGGAAAATATAATCGGCCGTAATCATATTAAAAGGCAGCTGTAATATGACCGACATTGATTACAGGACAGTAGTGGACCCATGAAAAAAGTAATTGGTTCCACCCGAGTTTCGTTTAGTTGGAATGGACTACTGGACACTGCACTACTTGATTAGGTTTCTGCTATGAACCAGTATCAGAAACTTTCCGTAGTCCTGAGAATTTAAATTCTCATCATTTTCTTTGCGTCATTGGACTTTTTTTTGGCATATTTCGCCTAGAGTGAAGAAGTGCCTTCAATAAATAAAAACAAGGACCTCTCAGGAAATCCTCAACTACGTGAGATTCTCCTTAAACTCTCCCAGCAATCTCCCTTTCCGTTCTAATCTCTTCAGAAGTTAGGTAGGCGAGGTTTTTTGTTGCAGGAATTCAATTCATTGTGTCTGACACGTTCAACCCCATACACCTGACAGGACCTTATATGCCCATAACGCGCTGAAATCACTGGGGTCGAAAGTGTTAAATCCGAATGTTTAGATCTAATTGGTGAATCTTAATCACGTTTCTTTCACGAAATCTCGAGGGCTCGAAGAGATTGAACTCGTCTACGTCCGTTGGGCCGACCGATTAGACGTCACTAGACGTTAGACGTCGTCTAGTTGTATGCTCAGCGAGATATCTAGGTGAGCTGTTGCATCAGATGAACTAGCACGAGGGACTGGGCATGAGACACTCTGAAGAGCACGATAAGGAATGCGCATCGTGGGAATATTTTAAGGCCTTCATTCCTTTCTTTCACTTAAAGATGGAGTCTCCGTGGACGGGAATCCATATTGGAAATCAAATGCAATAGCTATCTGAGAACAGTTTTCCCTGTTTGTCCGAAAACAGTTTTCCCTTCAAAAGTGTTTGGCTTCAAAAATGTGTTTATCTTGAATGTATGAATGAGATTGCACTTGTTTATTACGTATTCATCAAGCAGTCCCAGTATGGCTTGGAGTCAAATGAACAAGAGTCTTGAGATAATATCATCATATGTATTAGCATATTCCACCAAAATTATTTTCCACTCGTTCGCTTCAAAAAGTGAAGGAAAAATACTGAAAATAGAGCTATTGGCGTCTTTACCATATGCATGGAGCGAGTGAGAATTTCTGTGCCTTGTCGAGTGAGATGTTTACACATGCCCTCTATTAGGATGAGGTTGAGGCAGTTAGCACAGGGTCGTGTATGGGTGCCACTTTGTTGTTCTCTAAATTAAGAAAATAAGCCATTTTTAGTGACTAAATGTACATATTGATATGATGTTCCAGGGGAGTTTATACGCGCACGAATTATACGTATGACACTTTCTACAGGTAGAAGCCATCTTTTTAACCATGCGGCAAGAAGTAAGGTAGCCTTGCAATATGTAGTTTTCAGTATTAAGAAAATGATCTCACAGGAGGCTGCACTTGATCGCATTTAAAATGCAATTCGTTAAAAAAAATTATTATTGAATTAACCAATTATTTACCAAATTAGAAATGTATTAAACGATGACGATTTTGTGGCAAAGAAGTCTGAGATAAATGTATATATTGACCAAATGTTCAGTTTTAAAATACTTGGAACTTTTGTGCACCCCGGATGTAAGCATATTGGGTTTTAAAAAAATTTCTAATTTTGAACTGGCAGGAAAGGGTATGCATATATGTCTAAAGGGCGCAAACTTGACTATGAAGGATCCCCAGAGGTGCATAATAGGACACAAATAATGGTATTCAGGGTGAAAATCGCATGCAGTAGGGACTATGAAATAAGAACTACAGTAATAATGTATTAACAGTTTGAATAAAAGAATCCGTTTATATATTTACATATTTTTATGAAAACGTATTAATTGAGGTTTACTAGTGAACCTGAAAATATGCAGTTTATGAATAGAAGACCGTTGACATTAAGCATTATATATTTACTCCCACTTGACCAAAACCTGCTCTGTGTTTAGATTTATTAGTCCCTAAAAGTTCCTTGGTATTTCAGTTTAATTGATATGGCGAAAATCAGCCAATGAACAGGTACAAAGAAGCAAATAGGTCGTTGGTCAAACACTCATGTTAACTCCGGAGGACATTGCCACTGCCCTATGCTTTCATATAATCGAACATTGCTTCCAATGTGCAAATTTTTTTGTCGGAGCCAATTAGAATGAAGCTGATGACGCCAATGAAAGGGGAATAATAAAAAAACGGAGATTCGCTTCAATTATACTCAGATGTTACCAAGATAAATTGACACTGATTCAGTATGCCAGAGACATCCTCATGATCATTTTTGGAGAACAAGGAAGAAAGACTGCCTCTAAAGGAAGGCAAAGAAAGGCTCGAAACGGCTCCTAGTTACACCCTGATATTTGATGACTTCAGGAGGGCGCTGGTTGACATGCAGTCAGATAGAGATGGGGAGTTGAAGATGATCATGAACTACCAGGATCGCTTAAAAAAGTTCTGTGTGCTACACCCCCTTCGATCGGAACGAGCAACTGAAGTTGCTTACCAGTTACTGGACATTTTCCTTCACTGAAAATAGCCCATGGACATCCACGCCATCCACAATCTTAAGGAAGCGACGAACGCTGCAATGCAGCGTTCATACATGACCATACATGACCCGCCATGCATACATGAGCCGCTCTGACATCGATGCGGGTAAGGAACACCACCCATTGGAGGATTGTCTTGCGATTCGCACATTAATAAAAGTTTCTGCCATCACTGTGTGATTGTTCAGTCTCCGTATCAGGCACTCTTTGGTCACGAGCCTAAAGTTGGCTTGGTGACCACATCGTTCCCTAAGTTGATGCTGAATCATATTGAGGAGGTGTTCCCTCCATACAGAGAAGGAGCTCGAAGGTCATTGACCGGACACGCAACAAAGGTCCTCATGATGATCACAATCGACTTCTTGTCAATCATTATCTGCAAGCTGTCGAAATAGATCACATGGCTGGCCCAGTTGTTACCTATGAACCGTCCGACATCGTGTCGCCTCTAGATGAGATTAAGTCTCATTCAGAGCTTCAAGAAGATGCTATTCCACGGGACAAATCAAAAGCCTCATATGACGGCAAAATTCTCGAATCTCTTTCTGCAATCATAGGGCAAGGGCGAGAGTGGGACTGAGAAAGGCCGCAGATGACATGAAGGAGGCTCACAGAAGCGACTGACACCTCTTAAGATCTATGACAATGTCCTGATACGCGGATCGTGGACCATTTAACCTCAGAAACCTGGTTGCAGTTGCGATGAGTGCGTTAGGGGACGACAAGGTGGAGGAAATGACCACCGGGAGTGGGCACATACTTGTACTGCAGTTGTACCGGTACATGCAAAAATAAAACATGTGAATGCATAGCCAATGGTACCCAGTCCAACTCTCGATGAAACGGGTCAATGACCCGTTCCAAGAAAATAATTAAAGCCAAAAAGTTGCAGTAGACAGTAAGGCTTGAATGCAGGCTTTGATGAATAATGGTTGCAGCATCTTTAATTTTAGGCAATACCGTTTTTTCATGTTATATATGCGTGTGATCAGTCGCCTCATTTCGTGGGGTTTGACGTACATCTTTAAAAAAAAAATAAAGCAAGAGCCGCTAGCTGTAGCATACGAACATTATTCTGGCCGTGATGAAGTGCTTCTCTGAACTTTCACGGAAACATGCAATCC